TATGATTTTAATGAAATCGATTATATTAATTTGAATGTCTTCGATGCCTCCAGAAATGTGGAAAATGTAAAGAAAGAGGTGCGACTATAGGATGCTTCGAGCCTAAATGCACCAAAAGCTTTCATTTACCGTGCACTGATAAGCCACTTTCTCATTTCGAGATGGGTGTCATTTTTTACTGCCCTACTCACGAATCACGATATCTCAAAAAAGGTATAAATAAATCGTTATTTTTTAATTTTTAAATAAATTATAAAAAATTAAATTTTTTTTTTTTTTTTTTTTTTACTTCTGCAATAAAGAAATATATAATGAGATATATAGATGTGATGTTTGTTCCTGTGAATTACAGGCGGACAAATGGTGGACTTGTAAACCATGTGAATCAAACTTTTTCTCTTCTTTTGATTTATGCCCACAGGTATTGATGAAGCATTAATAAGTTTAAATATTGGTCTATTATATCAAAACCTAATAAATGTTATAAAATGTTAGTGTTTTGCAGAGAAATTCCCAGAGACACATGAACATAGTAAAGAAGATTTTGAGGAAACATGTAAGTATACTAAAAGAATTTGTTTAGCGTTGACACAATTGAGTAAGCATATATAACATATTAGATAAATTAAAGCTGTCAAGCAGATAAAAGACCAACAAATTACAAAGCAAACGGAAATGGCTCTCGCTAATCAGAAAGCTCGTGAATCAGGTAAAATAAGACCAAGTTAACACAATATATTTAGCGCAAAATAAAATGATTTTTTTTTGATTTTTTTTTTTTTTGACACGTTTATAGGACTGCGTAAGAAATCCAAAAACTATCCAACTCATGGAAAGGGGCAGTTACAATGTTCTTACTGTTGGGCTGATGAATCTCCTCGTTGGCGTAAAGGTAGATAATTTAATAGTAAATAATTATAAATTTCGACAAATATTCTTATTTTTTATCTTCATTTATTGCAGGATATGATGGAGTGCTGATGTGTGAAGATTGTTTTGAATTAGTATTGGTCAACAATACCACTGGAGAATCTCATTTAGAAACAAACAAGTTGATGGTTACCAGTGAAGATTATTCATATCGCCCATATCTGACTAGAAACTCATGTTCAGACAAGAAATTTGACTATTCAGAATCGCAAACAATATATTTGGACACATATGAGCCTGCAGAAAATCAACTGTTTTCATTACCTTTTGACAGCTCATACTTTGATATTCCTGGAAGAGCGCCAAGATGTAATTAATCTTGTGTTAATGTCATTTTAGAAATGTGCTTATTTTTATATTAATTATTGTCAAATGTGCAAATATCATCCAACAGGGGCAACGCATAGTGGTACTGATTATCATGGAACTTGGTTGCCACAAACTGTTCGACGGTATATTTTAGACGAGTTTATGTGAATTGATGTGATAGTGTGCTTTATGGATTGAAAATAAATTTTTGCTTGTGTCTAGTGCCTTGCTTCGTTTCACCAAAAAGAATGACCGAGTCATGTCAAATTTCCTTGGAAGAGGTGAGTTGATAATATTTAATATTTAATTAGTTATGAATGTTTACTATAGTTCCTATTTCATATTTATAGGAACGGATGCGATTGAAAGTTTTCTGCTTTGTAGAAGGTAAGTTTTCTATATACAGTATTAACAGCCCGGCCTGTAATTCCAAAACAATAATTATTAATGCGTATTATTATTAAAGACTCGTTGGCGTAGATATCAATCCAGTAAGTTTTAATGACATTTTTTTAACAAACATCAAGAGTTTGATATAAACTTCAAATAATTAACTGTGCGTTCATGCAGGCTGCAGTAGCCCTATCGCAGCGTAATTGCTCATTTGCTATTCCACCAGATAGAGGCATCACGGCCGAACATCGACCTATTATTCTTCAAGCGGATTCCAGGCATTTGACAGGAACAATTTTTGAAAATGAATCTTTTGATCATGTTTTAAGTCACCCTCCTTATAAAAATTGGTATGGCTAGTTCTGAATTGATTTATGAATTTAGTAGTGGGTAGTATTTTAAATTTTCTTTTTATAGCGTTGAATATTCAACACATATTGACGGAGATTTGTCAAGATTTGCAAATTCTAAAGAATTTGCAATAGAAATGAGTAAAGTCATTGATGAAACTTGGAGGTAATTCTAATAACTCTTAAGTTAACTATGTTTAATATCTCATGCAAACTTTAATGGTTTATGGTTTTAGATTATTGAAACCAGGCAAAAGAGTTACGCTTGGTATTGGAGATAATCGAGAACACTGCTTTTATGTTCCAGTTAGTTTCAATTTATTCCGTCAATATATGGATCAAGGATTTGAATTGGAAGAACTGGTAACTTTTCATATTTATAGTTAATGTATTTACATAGTTGTTTATTCATTATTTTGCATTGATACACACAGGTTGCGAAAAGACAGAGATATTGCCAGGCTTTTGGATTGGGAACTTATCTTTGTGTGCAATACGATTTCTTGATGTTTACACATGAATTTATTGCTACTTTCAGAAAAGTTGATAAAGAAAAAAATGACCTTGTGTTAAGTATACCTGGTATGTTATATATTTCATGGTATTTTAACATATAATCTTCCTATATTTACAAGCAATAATTACTTAATTTTCTAGATGAATTGGTGTTAGATGAATATGTAACATTCTCAAGTGAATTAAGAGAAATTCCAATTCTTCCTATCGCGCGTAAGAGTGTTGTCATGGGCACTACATGGACATTTAAGCCTACGTCTAAACACAATTTTGTACAACTTTGTACTTCAAGAATGGTAATTTTATTATTATTATTATTATTATTATTATTATTATTATTATTATTATTATTATTATTATTATTATTATTATTATTATTTTATTATTATTTTATTATTATTCTTATTATTATTATTATTATTATTATTATTATTATTTTATTATTATTTTATTATTAATGTTTCTTTTTATTAAATTAAATTTGTCTTAACGATTTTAGGTTGAGAGATTTGGTAGGGATTATGCCAACTATGAAGAAATATCGATAAAATTCAGAAATCTAGAGGTACCTTAATAAAAATTATATTTATTGTAAACTGTAGTTAAAATCCTAATTTTTGCATATTTTAGCAGTTTAGTAATAGTAGTATAGATGAAAATAGAGAACAAATAAATAAAGAAGGTTGGCTTATTATTACTAAGAACTGTTATAAAAATTTTTCGGTTTAATAACTTTAATGCCATTACTATAGACATAGATAGTGAATCAGACGATGATATTCCAGAATACGAACGAATTAGACAGAAGCAAATTCAAGAAAATCAGAAAATGCTACTTTCATTGGTTAGGATCTTCAAATAGACTTTTTCCCTTGTATTTTTTCTTTGTATTTAGATATTATGTTTTAATCTTTTAGGGACTGAAATGTGATCTCGGAGAAGAATCAGATGACATATCTCATCTTGAGAAGTTACTCAACAGCAAGCCATTACCTCCGCCAACGCCAACAGCGTTGATCGTCATACCACATATTCCTAACAGTGCTCTTAATTCACAAACGATTCCTTACTATCGTGCAATAGTCAAACGTTTGGCTCGCGAGGCATATGATCGGTTGCCTCCTTCCGGATTTCTTGTGATAGGAGGGCAAGATGTTCGAACATCAGACAACAAATTATGGCCTCTTAGTATGCTTTTTATGGAAGACGTGAATAAAGCTGTTGGCGAAGATAAAATGCCACTTAAGGAGCTTGTGATCACTGTACCAGATGGTTATGCAAAAGATAAGAAGAAAATTTGTTCATATGAAGATTATACGGAGGAACGATGTATCGTAGATGAAGAAGAAAATGCAGTGCAATTGCCCATAATTCATGTAAGTTTTTAAATGCTGTTATTTGTGATTATGCTTCAATAATGTTTCCCTAACTTTAATTTTTAGGCATGTTATCTTATATTTATGAAACTTAGATGATACCATAATAGACCTAAATACTTTTGTTAAATTTTCTTTCTTTTTTTGCTTAATACGATGATAATAAGAGGTGAAAAAATTATAGACAAACTTAATAAATAATGATTTGATATTTATCAGTAAAAAAAAAAAAAAAAACTATAATATATATATATATATATGAACTATTCACAATTGTGTTAGAGAATATACTTGAATTTATTTAGCGATCTAAAAATTCGGTGCAATAAAGGCGAAGACTAGATGAATAAATGAACGTTTCTATGATAATTGATAATTTATAACAAACGCTTTTTAAAATACGGCGACAATTGTTCAATACTAAATACAGGTCTTGAGCTTGTAACAAAGGTTGTAAAGCTCACCAAGATGCATCTAATGGTAGTAAGAACATTACAATTAGCTTGGTGGTTCTTGAAAATCTTTAAAAAACTTCTTTTTCACATAAAATTTCTTTAAAAAAAATCGATTTACCTCGTTAATATCAACCTAAACCACAAAACAAAATTTTATAAATTTTTATATATATCAAAATTCCCATATATCAACTTTAATATGATTTCTCATTAATATCACTAACATGATTTAAAACCAATTCATATTAACATAAGTTAAGATTATAGTTTAGATTTGATCTGCCATCCTTAAAATTCAAACAATAACGCATGTTATTCGCACGTTTTTAATGTAATATGGGTAATTACTTAAAATAATTACCCATATATGGACAGTAATTATAAAATTAAGTGTGCACCAAAAATGTCGTTTCTTAACATATTTCTGGCTAAATTGAATTTTGTTGAGCTTGTATACTGCGTCGAAACCACGTGAACGAATATAACGAATATGTAGAGAAACGGCCGAGAAAATGCAATAAAAAAATACGGTAGACAAGAGCTAACATATCGATTAGTAACGCATTTATCATTAAGGAAACTGATATTTTAAAACTGCTAAGTTGTTTATATTATATGCATTTCATTTCAAATGCCACGGTAATAGAAATGAAATAAATTCCTGAAAAGTATGAAAGGGATTTTTAGAAAAGTGTATCAAAATATGGTATGAACGACGCGCTCTATAAGAATCCAGAATTAGAATATTTATTGAAACTGAATTATAAACAAGTCACAACATCGGATTTTTCTTAATCCATTACACACATTTTTTTAATTTATGATGCATTGCATTTCCTGATGAATTTTATCTACGTAACATAAAATAGCGTTAATAGTCTTAATTTATCATAGCGATAAGAATCACAATCAAATAAGATCATTCGTACATCGGCGCTTTCTAATATACTTTACTTATCTTTGATAGATCTTTATTACATTCAAAGAAATATTAAAGAAATAATTAAAGAAATAATTAAAGAAATAATTAAAGAAATAGTGTTTTTTATATAAAAAGTACTTCGATTGATAAAACAAAAAAAATGCCATTAACTAACTTTCGTGTACGTGCCAAGATCATTGAGACCGAATAGGATCTTTGAAGTTAATACGTAATAATAATAAATAGATAATAAAATTACATAATTTATCACATCAAATTAACTTATTAACTTTGTAACAAACATTTAACATTATACATAAAACATTAATGCAGTTTTTTCAAAGAAAATTCTATTTTTTGTGTTTCTCTCTTTTCCAAGAAGATTACACAAATATTGTTCCGGGAATTTTCTTCAAAGAGGTAAATGGGGTACTTTGTTTATTCCGGAACGACTATATTCATGTTGTATCTCGTTAAATAATTGTTTTAATTTGTTAATTTTTCTAGTTTTTTCTAGTAAAGACAAAGTGTGACCATGTGGCTCGAAATTGGATTTTATCCGAATATTAAAAGCTTAATGCAAGATTTAATAAATATCAAGAACGAAGAGAATAAGAGAAATGAGATGCATGATGCAAGAATGCCAGTGTCCAGTGGATATGGAAATAGCATCTAATTATCAGCAGATGCAAGTTCTGCGAACATTCATTTCCGAAATAAACTGACAATATTAAATATAGATCGTAAAAAAAAAAAATTATATATACATCAGGTTAAATCATGTTTAAAGGTAAATATATATATATATATATATATTATTTTATTTTTTTCACATTATGTTCGCGAAGTTAAGCTTAAAATTATTGACTTTTCCAAAATTTTTGTTTGTCAAACAACCATTAAAAATTTCGAAACCCTTGCAGTAAATATTGACGCGGGTAAATTTAATATGTAACGAACTTTTCTTCAGTTAATGAATGGTAGCAAACTGTCGTGATCAGTAATTCCAAATAATAGTACTTGCAGCTCATCACACTATTTCTTTCTTAAATATTTGTTAACTTCCTTCACATCATTTCATTTCATTTTTATTTAATTTCATTCATTTAATTTATTTCATTCATTTATTTTTATTTTTTAATTTTTTACTCATTTTGTATTTATTATTATGGGTAATCCTCAATCGAAAAATACTGTTTGTTCAGCGATAAAACCATCTGCCACTTATCGTTATATTGATGGTCGCCGATTTCAAAATATCGAAAATACAAGATATTTAATGCCAGATGATGATGAAGAACTTGATCGGTTACAACGTCAACATTTTTTATTTCGATATCTTTGGGATTCTAATTTTTCGGCACCGATTAATGACATATTACGAGACAAAAAAAGTGAAATTTTAGATGTTGGGTATGCTTTTTTTTTTTTTTGAAGGAAAAAAAAAAATGTATTTATCATATTTATGCAATTTTTTT